TTGAGTGGATTTCTTATTGTTGTCTTTCTATCTCTATTTAGTCATATGCCTTATGACTTACTTTGTCCCTCAGGATAAAGGTACGCCTCAAAATCTGTGCATATAAGCAAGTACACTTGTATTAATATGTGTGCATATATATGCATACACACACGTTCTCATCTTTTAGTTTTCTCTGTTATAAGCAATTCACTACAAGAAATTGCTCAACCATCAGGGTCCACTTACAAAATAGAGATGATTATTTTCATGATCTGCAAAGATTCCTCATTTAACATGAGTCTACTCTTCAAGATATTTTAGTGCTAAAATCTTGTAGATTTGAAAAATCACACTTGTTTTTGACAGTTTTTTAAAAATCTGCTTCATAACAAGTAATATACTCCTGACTTTTCCTCAAAATTGTCTTGGTAAATTTATGATATGCCCAGATTCTGATCTCTGTTAGCAGTTGGAAACTGGAGTTAAAATTGGGGCTTAACAGTAAGTATACCTATGTCTATAACAAGTGAAGGCATCCTTGCTATGGTCCTGCTTGAGCAGGAAGAGAAATTTTAAAGACATTCTGAATAAGCAGACGTAGTACGAGGTCCCTAAAAAATCTGCTTTACTTACAGCAGCCAATAATTCCCAATATATGTGCTATATTGAATTGAATCAAATAGAGAACTTAAAATGGAAGAAGAAACATCCTCCATCTAAAAAAGATCTCTAGAAAGAGGTCTCCCCGGGGGACAGATTTGTCCCTTCTTAGCAAGCCTGTTTGCTCTACTTTCTTAGAGGTTATCCTTTCTCCTTGTTGAAAATAATTACATCTCTTACACTTCTTTCCCATTTAAAATATTGTTATCATTCAGATTTGATACCACCAAACCCTCCGAATTATTAATCAGGAACACAAGTAACACTTCTCTTACTACAGTTGCCATTATACCCCTTCCCCACTTTTCAAATAGAAAGTAGCAGCAGGTGTCTCTTGTTCAAGGCAACAAAGGAGACAGTGGGGCCTGGGCCTGGGGTATCATTTCTTTGCATTACTCCCTTTCTAAATCAAAGTGCTTAGAGTTCTTTCCCATTTCTTTTAGTTTTGAGTAATTCTCTTCTGGATCCAGTATCTTATCCCAGAGTCCATCTGTGGACCCTTATGCCTAGAAGTTCCATTGTGGTGTGTTGCACAGATAAGTTAATTTCTAAGGAACTCTCCTTAATTATGAGATCCTTTCTAGATACTGAAATATGGTTTTGCTGTTGTTGCGAGATGCTAGATATTTTCTTGTTATTTAAATAGTTCAGGCAGTTGCAGAATGTGAAAAGTCCGTCTCTTTCCCATCCCAGTGCTCCTTTAATTTGTCCCACAATTCTATGTGGTTTTTCAACCTCATACTTTACTTTGAATAAGTTGCTTTTTAATAACAATGCTAATAGAGATGTGTGTCTTTTTACAAGCAGATTTTTGTGCATTATTTCATTTGATCTAATCCATGAAGTGAAAAAGATAGAAGATAGAGCCCATTTTGAAAATTTTGAAATCTCATGCGATTTCACAATCAAAAAGCATCTTGAAGGTACATAGGTCCCAGCCTAGAGCTCTCCACTGACTCCTTTCATTTTTTAACCACATCATTTTCCCTATCACATGGGATGTTTGCCACCTTGCCAGTCTTGCAATGCCTTGTCAGGATCTAATTTCAGACTTAAACGCTTTCCTGTATTTTTAAATGTATACCTGCTTAAATACCTTTCTGCACTTTTAATGACATGCTAAATTAATATTCACATCTACTATTACCTAGAGCAGTGGCACCATTGCACCTTTAGCCTTCCAGTCTGACAGAGTAGGTTTGCTTGAGTCCTGTGTAAGCCCATACCACCTTCCCTCTAGGAGGTGTTCCAAATTCTTGGAATTTCACTTCTTGACATGTGGGAAAACTTGGGTTTCCTGAAATACCCTATCTTTTTTACCATGTCCTGGACTTTTTCTTGTTTTCTTAAAAATTTCTTAAAAATTCATTTCCAGAATGAATTTGCAATTGCCATTTCTGAGCCACTAGATTGCTGGGATTTTAAATATAGAATGCTGTACCCAGCACCTTCCATCCCCCACCCCCACCCCACTCCCAACCGTCTTTTCTCTTTCCCTTCAGTTTCCCTTTGATTCAAATGCTGTGATCTCTTTCACTTTACATTTACCTCACTTGCCTGTTTCACTGCACTGGCTTTGACCAATCACAGCCAAGATGGAAATTGTATAGTCCACGTGGAATTCAGTGCCCCAACCAATAACCTGCCATCCATTCAGGCCATGATTGCATACTCCTTTAATCCCAGCACTCCAGAGACTAAGTAGATGGATCTCTGTGAGTTTGAGGCCGGTCTAATCTACATATGGAATTCCAGGCCAGCTTGAGACCCTGTCTAAAAAATAAAAGCGGAAGCCCTGTTGCTTAATGGCCTCCAAGCCTGGACATTCATTAGCTTTAGGGGCTGAAGAAATGGCTCAGCAGTTAAGAGCATAAACTGCTCTTCCAGAGGACCGGAGTTCAATTCTCAGCACCCATGCCAGGCAGCTCACAACCACCAGTAACTCCAGCTCCAGGGGTTCCAGCACCCTATTCTAGCTCTAGAAGTACCTGCACTCACATGCACATACCCCCCCAATACACATGCACATAACTAAAAAATAAAAATAAATCTTAAAAACCCTAACCCTACCATCCCAGTCACCCCTGGGTTTCCTTCTGACTTCTTTGCAGGCTCAAAGTTGCAGGGTCTTTCCCCAAACATTCCTTTTTCCAGCTGACCTGTACATTACCAGGAAAATGCTGTTTCCCTAAACGTAGGGACCTTTGTACATGCTCTCATCTCTGCAAAACCTTACTCCTCTTCCTCTGAATAAGCAGAAAAATCCAGGTTTAAGCTCACAGTTTAACTCCAGAGCCCATTTCTTTAACTTTCCCTCTCCTCTAGCCTTTGCATTTCTTGAGTGAATTACCAAGTAGTATCTAATTTTTTCTAAGAGAATACATCAGAACTCAGGCAGTTTTAAACTTCATAGCCTAGATTTCCCAAAAATTGCAAGAACAAACCTAAATGCAGTGGCATTCTCAGGACAATGAAAGTGTGTATGGGGTGATGGGAACCATTACCACACCAGCTTTGGAAGGAAAAGATCTCTTTGACTTACATCATCTTATTAAGAGCCCTTGAAGATTAGAGGATCTCATTTTGCACGTGTGAAATTCAAGATAGTCATGGCTTCACCTCCCATTTCTGTCCTCCTTTACCAGTAGTCGAGCTGAGTTCTCGATGTGGCAATTGACAGCTGAAGTTTAGAGCAATCTCTGAAATTCCCTGAAGGTCTTATTCAGAAATACACGTACACACATTGAAAAAAAATTACATACTTTTCCTTTTGAGGAGTGGGTCTATAGCCTTCAACAAACCAGTAATGATAGTACTTTTGGGGCTGGAGAGATGGCTTAGCAGTTAAGCGCACTGACTGCTCTTGCAGAGGACCCGGTACCCATGTGGCGGCTACGAACCGAACCGTCCTCCGCCGCATTGCACGACACAGGTGCGCTCACATACACGCAGGCGATACACTCATACACAAAAAAAATAAAATATATTTTTCTTAAAGAGCTACTACTTTCCCCTCCCATCCTCCCAACCCCAAAGTAATGAATAGTCATGATGGAAACACCTGGGGATTGGGGGGGGGGGTGTTGGTTGTTTTGCTTTGTTTTTTGAGACAGGGTCCTCCCTGTAGCCCCAACTGACCTGGAAGTCACTATGTAGATCAGGCTGGCCTTGCACTCACAGAGATCCACCTGCTCCGAACGCTGGGATTAAAAGCGTGTGCCATCACACCTGGCCTAGCAATCTAATTTTTAAAGCTGTAATATGTGTAAAAAGTAATAATTACAAGAGAACTTCTAACATAGCTCTACACGTGCAAGAATGGTTCATTATTGCTTGACATATTAAATGCAAGTGTGGAGGAAGGGGCCCATCTTGTTTTCAGTGATTATGGTTTTTTTTTATCCTTTTATATAGTATTGGTAACTCTACACTGATCATGTTTTTCTCTCTGCCTCACAGGTTTGTAAGTGAATCTTTAATATTCAAAATTTAATACCTAACCAGTATTAAGATGTGCAATGGGGTTCGTGATGTTTATATACATATGAACTCTTTTACAACAGCTCAATAAAATAGGGATCCTTTATGAGTAGGCTCTTTCCCCAACAAAGATTTCTCTCACTATTTTCTATTCCCTTACAGAATCCTTCCCTATCCATGTTAAATAGGGCTCATAAGAGATACCCAGTACCTTAGCACCAGAAATCCTACGTGTTCCTGAAAACCCCTCGCCAAAGCATGTTTCACACTGGGCACTGGGGAAAATAAGGGCTGGTTGGCCTGAGCGTCTCCAAAATGAATTCTTAGAACTAGGATTAGCAGCGTCCTAGCTCCGACACCCCCTAGCCGGGTTCTCTGGTTTATGTTTGTTGTTGTTTTGTTTTGTTTTTAGCTGTTGCTTTTGTTAGCTTTTGATTAAAAGAGGAAGCAATCTTTGCCTGTGCGGTAGAACACCGAATTTGAATTTGACAGAGAAAATCCTTCCTTGCAGTTTTCTAATGCTCCGGGGAGGAAGGAAACGGGGGGGGCGGGGGGGTCACGACACGGTAATGGTGGTGCAGAATTAGGGGGGGAGGGGAGATAGAAATTTAACCTAGTAGAGAGGGGACCGCTCACCAGCCCTGTTTTGAGCAGGTGGAAAGCGCCGCAGCGTTCCGGGGTGACCCGGCTGGGCGCGATCAGTGAGAGGAGGCGATCGGATCCCTCGCGGTTCCGCCCCTGGCAGGCCGGCTTCTGGCGGTGCCCGGCTAGCCCGCGGGAGGGTTCCGGGGCGGCCGGGCTAGCGCCACCTACAGCGGGCTGGGAGCCCAGTCAGACCCCGGGGAGGGAGGGAGGACCGGCCGGGGCGGGAGCGCGGGGAGGGAGCGCGTGGGGAGCGCGGGGAGGGAGTCGGAGGGAGAGGCATGGAGTCCGCCGACCGCCTGGCTCGAGCGGCGGCCCGGGGCCGCGAGCAGGAGGTGCGGGAGCTGCTGGAAGCCGGGGTGTCGCCCAACGCCCGGAACCGGTTCGGGCGCACCCCGATTCAGGTAAGTGTGGACGTTCATCGCCTGCTCTTTGTTCCGGAAAAAATAGTGAGATCTGGAAGTCAAAACTACCTCGGGGCGACTGGAGGGAATGGGGAGGCGCGGGCCGCCTCCAAGTTGCCTGAAAAGGGGTTGAGGGGATCTTCCTTAGAAGGATGTGCTTCCTGTCAGATCCAGATTTGTGAATGTTTGGCATAAAATTCGAGTTTTAAAGAAATTGATTTTTTAAATGATCTGCTGGGACTCTTCAGCGAACTCACAGAACCCCCACCCCCACCCAGCGGGGCCCTTCCACTTCCCTTATAAACGGGTGTCCATGGAAATCAGGCAGGAATAGGTGTCTTTAGAAATCCTTGAGAAGCAATGGAATAATGGGTTTCATTTTAGCTAGGAAGTGCGTTCTTATTGTGGGAATTTGGTAAGCAAAGAAAGCAAACCGTGTGCCACGCCTGCCATGTGCATCCCAGTTACCATTTGGGGGGCATCGTGTACGTTTTCATGTTTAAAATACATTTATGAAATAAACATAATCAGAAAAAAAAATTAACTTCCTCGATATAGTTCAACTATTTGGGATCAAGTTTTCAACTTATTATTATTGAGCAATTTTATTTTTCTCCAGTCTATTCTCAGTGGAATATTTTTGTTTTTGCTTTCATTAACTTACGAAATTTCAATCTAAAAAGGAACTCTTCCAGGCAGTCAACGCCCTAGTATTATTTCCATGAGTAACCATTACTTCGGACTCTATAAGGAAAACTTATATGAAACAAATGCATATTCCAAAACCATGTGCATAGCAAGACAAAGGAAAGAGCCTCCAGCTGCATCCTGATGAAAGAAATGGTGACCTGCAGTGGTTTAGTATAGAATAAAATCCACACACTTTAAAACAGATACAAAAACAAAACAAAAGTGCTGTGGAACTTGAAATCATTTAAAAGTCAACTGTAGAATATTTTGATGCTAGACGGGTTGGATAGTTGTGTAATTAGGCATGAACCTTTAAAAATAGTATTGTATGTGATTTATAGTTTAAAATCAAAATGTTGCCAGAGCTGGGCTGCCTGTTTTACCGTTGTGGTCCTAGAACAGGCTCAGTAGACCTTATTTATTGAACACAGAAAACAAAAAGAAAGTTGGGTCACGAGTTTTGTCAATTATTTAGTAAGGGAGAGAGACAAAATAGTTTCGGTTTAAAATCTTAACCAACTTGATGATTAATACAGAAATGCTTAGTTATAGAAAAAAATTAAAGGACTAAATTCTAGTTAAATTTTTTAGGAAAGGGATTTAGAAACTATTTTATTTTTGCTCTGGACTATTATTTTCAGTTTTTCCATACCATAAAATAGGTGAAAACATTTGAAACAAGTTTTATGAGCAACCAGTCATATGCATAAAAGGATATTATACAATTTTTTTTCTTTCTGTAGCTGTAATTTAGATCACTATTTTTTTCTTGTTATACTACGAACTAAAGCAGTTTCACTTTCTTCAGGAAAAGATTCAAAATAGTACAACTGATTACGGCTTCTTTAGAAAAATTAGGTAGTTCACATTTACATGACACAGACTTCTGAGCCACCTTGCCCTCTGCCTTAGTCCTCTCCTGCTGCCAGCACTGCTTGCTCCCATCAGCCTCCAGCCCTCCTGCCACTGCAGTTGTTCAGAATAAGAGATGTTTGAACTGATACAGAAATTGTAAAACAGTCTGTGGGCATCACAATCACGTGCTGGAAGATTTAAGAATGGATGATGGAGGAGTTGACAACCCAGTCTTTTTTCTTTTCCGTTAATGCAGATTTGACTTTATATACATATAAAGTCATGGATGGATAGATAGATAGATAGATAGATAGATAGATAGATAGATAGATAGATAGATAGATAGATAGATAGGTAGATAGGTAGATAGATAGATAGATAGATAGATGGATGATAGATACAGATATAGTCAGTCTATGGTGAACCCACACACAAGGATGACCCTCTGGATGGCGATGAGGGCAAAGAAGAGCAAGCTGATTAAATACTCCTGTTTGGGACCAAAATTTCCTGAAAGTTGAAGAAGGTACACTCTTCAAAGTTATTCTGGTGGCAAACTACTCAGACTATGAAGTTTTGCATGCTGTTATATGAAAGTCTGTTGCCAATATGATTCCAGGGGGGAAACTCCTGAGGAGATTTGCAAAACCTTTAACAGAATGGATTGGCTGTGGGGGAGGAAGCTGAAGCAGACACAGAGAATCCGGGTGTGAAGAGAAGGGACCCATGCCTGACACCACAGCACCTGAAGGGTTGCTTCAAATACTCTTTGCAGTGCTCCATTTATTATTGTTATTATTAGGCACATGGCAGGCAAATGCAGCATCACACCAATTATATTAGCTTAACATGGTCCTGAACCTCCTGTAGTCAGTACAGATTCCAACCTATGGCAGCTTTCTTCTAGTGTGAGGGAAGGTTTCATTTTTTTTCTTTTTCTTTCTTTTCTAAATAACACTGAACTATGAGTTTTAGGTACAAAGTGGCATTTAGGTCTTTCTACCTAGTTTGTTGTCCAGTTAACTCCAGATGTTTAAAAAATTTTATTATTTATTTACCGTGTGCATGTGCATGTCACAGTATAGGTATGGAGGTCAGAAGACAACACAGCATGTAAGAATCTGTTCCCTTCTTCTACCTGTGGGACTTGGAAATGGAATATCAGACTTGGCAGCAACTACATCTTGTCTGTTCTAAAGAAGAGCTTTTAAAAGTTGGTGTAACCGGGTGGTTGACAAGGCTCCAGAGGATGGACCCACACCTAAGAGCATTTGGGAAATACAAATTAGACTCTATGGGACTTTAAAAAAAGAGTACATGAAGTAGGCAGTAGTAAGGGAGTAGATTGGGGGGAGGGTGTCGGTATATGATCGAAATGTAATAGAAGCAATATATAAGTGGAACAATTTGTGAAAGATTTTCTGTGATAGTTAACAAAATATCTTTATTCGGGAGTTGAAAACTGGCAAAAAGCAACTTGAAATTAGTGTTCCCACTGGGGTTGTTAAAATGGCTCCCAGGCTCCAGCCAAGCTTCTGAGAGGCAGCAGCACTACTGTTGGTTAGCTTAGATCTAGTCGGGCTCTTTTAATTAGAACTCTGAGGACTTTTTTCTTTTTTGTATTTTTTTATCTTCTCAAACTTTGACTATGCTGCCTAGAGACTCAAGTACTACACGGTTTGGGGTTTGTGGAAAACAAATATAACTAGACAATTTGTTAGTTTTTAAATGTAAAAAGATCCTTAGCTAGCTACTGTCCCCCAGCTATTACAATCAAATAATGGTTGCCTGAAAAATAACTGTCTACTGTCTTTCCTCATTATGTGGTACTCACTTATGATTACTGTGGATGTCATTTCAAAATTCCTTTTCAGTGGAGGGAAGGAACTAAGTGGTACAGCTCTTGCCTGACCTGAACAAGCCGTGGGTTGGGTCTGGTGTATTTTCATTGAGAATGACTTTATTTCAAAGGTAATTTAGGAATCCACAGTGGATCTGTGTGGAGTACTCTGCCCTAAATGGGAGGCCTATATCACACCCTCTCCTCCCAAGGCTCAGGATCATTGGGAAAGAGGAAGTAGAAAGGTTGTAAGAGTCAGAGGTGGTAGATGAATACAAGGAAACTATTGTCTGGACAAATGAACCCACAGTACTTATGCGAGCATACATAAGACCTGTGTAAACCCAAACCAGACTAGGGCCCTGCATGGACAGGGGAGGTGGGCAGGAAGCCCCAGCAGGAGTTGAGGATTTGTTGGCAATTGATAGATACTGGAGAAAGAGAATCAGTTTTCCTTACTGGGCTGATGCCTGGTAGGTTGACCAGACTCCAAGAACATATCTGTGTGGAAATACAGATTGGAGAAGTCTTTAAAAAGAGAGAGAGAGGTAGCGAGAACAAAAGAGGACATGAAGTGGAGGGATAGTAAGGTGGAGGTGGGGGGGTCTGAATATGGTAAAAATATACTGTATGGAATTACTGAACCAATAAAAATAATTTTTTTTTAAAAAAAAAGAGTGGGCCTGTACTCACAATTACTTGGGGGAACTGAGGCAGGAGGACTCAAAGTTCAAGGCCAGCCTTTCAAACTTTAAACTTAGGAAGTATTTCAGTTTCTTATTGTTGCTTTAACAAATTACCACAAATACTTGTTTTCATTTTGAGACAGGGTCTCAAGCAAACCAAGCTGGCCACAAACGTGTATTGCTTGAGGATGACCTTGAACTCCTGATTCCTGTTCCCTACCACCTGGGTCCTGGGATTATAGGCATGTACCACTGTACAAGGTTTATGCAGTGTGGGGCTTGAATCCAAAGTTTCTTGCATGCTAGACAAGTGGTCTACCAACTGAACTATATCCCCAGCCCATGATTACCACACACTTAATAACTAAAACAAACAGGAAATTGTCTAAGGGTTGGGAGTCTGAAATAGGTCCACAGGGCTTCATTTCTTTGGGACGCTCTAAGCAAGATTCTGTTTTCTTGTCTTTTCCCAGCTTCTAGTGACTGTCAAGCTTCTTGACTCAAGACTCCTGCATCTTCTATCTGACCTCTCCCTGCTAATGTCTTCTCTTTGACCGGGAACCCTCTTGGAAGGACGCTTTATGATAATGTTTGAGCCCACACTGACAATCTAGTATAGTGGATTGTATATTGTCAGGATCCTTAGTATAATGAGTCTCTTTACCTCTGTAACATACAGTTCTGAGGAGTAAGACAGTAACATCTTTGGGAGGCATTATTGTTTTAGGGGGCAAGTTTTGTCTTTTATACTTAAAGAAATTGAAGTAAAAGATTCCAGAAAGGTAAGAGTATCAAAGTTTTGTGAGAATTAAGGTTGTCAGTTTTTCCAACCATTTAAAAAATAACTTAACCTGGCATAATTGCTGAGCCTAACATGATTCCATCTGGACCGAAGGAAGTGAGATGTGTCCCTCGCTGTCTTGTTGCTGCCAGGGCCTCTGGCAGTGCTCCCTGCGTGCTGTTTCGCAGGAGAAGGAAAGGGAGGAGAACACAGTGGAAATCTGTGTAGGAAGAAAGGAACGGACCGAGCCAGAGGAGCGAGTCGGTAACTGGAAGCCTTTAATGAAGGCTAGACCCGGTGACTGAGGCTGTCTGAAAGCGGTAGGGATGGGGCTTTCTAAATAGAGCTGCTTTCTGGGTCTTGCGGGTACCCGGGCCTTGACGCCTCTGCTCTTCTCCTAGGTCATGATGATGGGCAGCGCCCGCGTAGCCAGCCTGCTGCTGCTCCATGGAGCGGACCCCAACTGCGCCGACCCCGCCACCCTCACCCGGCCGGTGCACGACGCGGCCCGGGAGGGCTTCCTGGACACGCTGGTGGCGCTGCACCAGGCGGGGGCGCGGCTGGATGTGCGTGACGCCTGGGGCCGCCTGCCGGTGGACCTGGCCCAGGAGTGGGGCCACCCCGATGTCGCGCGGTTCCTGCGCACCGCCGCGGGCGCCTCCCCGGGCGGCAAGCCCCAATAGCTGTCCCCAAAGCTCCCTCAGGTGAGGACGGTGATCCAAGAACTTGAACCCCGAGAGCTAGTTGAGGCTCAGCCCGCTCGCTTTCAGGTGGGAAAGTTGGGCCGGCTCCGGGTTTCAGTGCTCACACCAGCCACGCCTCGGGATCCAGGTAGAGAAGATGCGACCCTAAATGGGCTTGCGGACATAAAAGCTGGCCCCCAAGCCCACCTTCATCCTCCCGCTCACCCTCCTGGAAGGTCAAGGCTTAGGCTGGACATCGCTGAGGCCAGCGGCTAGAGGTCTAGTACCCGCTACCTTTACAAACTAGGAGACTGAGTCGCAGCCGCTTACCAGGCCCCGGCTTTGCTGCTTCAAAACTGGATGAACCTGTTCCACAATTTCCAAACCCAGTTGTGTTAGGCATCTTTGGTGGGACCTTTCCCTACAACTCAGCATTGACCCTCTGCCTTCCCAGTGGAGTTGTTCCTGTCCCTTCAAGGAGTTTGAAGGTAGCTGAGACCTCGCAGTCTTCTCTCTGAGGAAGTGACAGGGAGAGACCCTTTTCCCCTTTCTATAGCCTTCTACTTCTGGGAGACATCACTAAGCAAGAGATGAATATGAGCTTCCTCTGCCTTCCAAGCCCCCTGCAGTCACGAAGCCTTTTCTTTTCATAGGGTCTCATCTTCCACCCCTGCACCTGCCTGCCAGCTTTTGCTGGAGAGGGAATAATTTTAAAATTCTATTTATTTTATGTATATAAGTGTTTTGCCTGCATGTGTGTAAGAGTAAGTACCACGTGCGGTGCGTACAGGGCCTGGGGCGCGGAGCAGAAGAAGACATAGAATCCCCTGGAACTGGGAGTTATGGCCCGTTGTGAGCAGGCCACGTGGATACTGGGACCCGGGTCCTTTGCAAGATCAGTTAGTGCTCTTAACTGCTGAGCCATCTGTCCAGCTCCCTAGAGGATAATTTTAAATGAAATTAAGATATATGAAGAAATATACTAAATTACATAAAGTAAAACGTGACTTTAAAGGTAGTAAAATATTTTGGTTGAGAACTGCGGCTCCGAAGTCTAGCTCTGGTCGTCTGATGGAAATGTTAACCTCCAATTACAAAACCCGAGTTGCAAGCAGGAAATGAGAGGCTCACTGATATAATTTGGTCTGTCCACTCCGCCATTTGTAACAGGCTCAGGGCAGGAGTAGGAGGAAATAGTTTATAAAATCCGAAGAGACGAGTCCCAGGTGTGAAGGCTGCGGCAGAACGGACCTCCTGAGGAGGAACTGCAGAGCTGGTGCGAGCCGCGGCGGGAGGGAGCAGAAGGCAGACCCTGTGGGAACCGCGTCCGTTAAAGAAGGGAGCATCCATTTTGTTCTGCCAGGAAGCCATTAATCGGTTTGGGTTAAGGACGCAGGACCAAGACAAAACTACCACTCCTGGTGACGGCTCCTGGGCCTGCAGAGCCCTTGGCCTCCGGAGCTCCAGCTCGGCACCCGATGCAGGAGACCGCTGGGGAAGCGAAAGGGGAGGAGACATCCTCACAGCCCGCCTCCGGTGCTGGGTAGCGCGGGACTCCGCTGAACACCGGTTTCCTCCGGCAACCCGTGGGTGGGCCCCAGCGAGGCGGGACGGGGCTTTTCCTGAGCTCCCCAGAGCATCCACGCTGGCTGCCCGCGCAGCTGGCCCAGCTGGGATCCGGTGCCTTGGCGCTGACAGATTCAGAACAGAAGACAAACCCTGTGCCCAGGAGTAGGAATACAAGCAGTCTATTCCAAGAACCCAGTGCAAAAACTGCCTGGGTCCATACACGGTGGGGGATGCAGGAGAAGCGGGGGCAGTGGGCTTCACGCCTGAGGTTTCTGGTTTCTAACGCCCACTTTCTTTCTGTTCTCTGCAGGCAGCCTGGACTTCGTCCTTAATCCAGATGAAACAGTGCCAAGTCTGCTCCCATCCCACCCACTTCTCTGTGTCCTTAAGTCCGCCTTTGGGAGGTGGGGGAAGAGCACGCTTATCCCGCAGTGGCGGTTCACGTCTGTGATCCTAGCACATGGGAGGCTGAGGCAGAAGGATGGCGCCTGGGTTACGCAAAATAAAATAATACTTTAAAAGATGCCAACTGCTTTTTAACATAGAATTACCTTTCCATATCCCTGAATTATCGTTTTAGTTTCCAATACTATATCATTTTGCAAAAGGTACTTTTGAAACGAACTGTGAGTACCCATGCCCTGACTCCAGGTATTGTGAACAATGACTGTGGTGTTGCCTCCTGCAACCCCCAGCCTCCCTGTGGACATATCATTCATTTAGTAAACTAAGAAAGCTTGAGGGTTACATGGCTTTTCTCAAATTTCCCGAAAATTGTAGAGACAAGACTAATAAAGATAGTCGCATTTACTCATTTCTTCAGTCAACATTTACTGAAGACTTGCTAAGGTACCCTGCCGGGGATACACAGGCAGAGGGAGATAACGAATCTTCACACAAAACAACACTAGAAATTTGAACAATTATGCTGAATCATAAGCATTGTTTCTGATATCCTTGAATGGTTTGCCTCCTAGAAAAATACTGCAATGAATCAACACACAGAAATTGACAAATCCTCATTTCAGAGAAATGAAATATCAAAAGCCAAATCTTAAGATCAAAGAAATGTGGTTATTATGATGGGTAGAAATTCCAGGGAGCCTTAGCTTACACATTTGGTCTTTCGTTATTACCTGACTACAGAAAAGTTAGGGGTTCTTGCCAAATACTGCAGATGGTTTGGGAGCTTGGCCATGAAGCCTACTGTAAGCCTGCCTGGGCTGGCCTGCTATCCCTGAGCGGCTGTGAAGTTGCTAGTGACCAGTCCCCCAAAATGCAGCTGTGTGCTCCTCCGCAGAACAGGGGTACTGCTGTGATGCCGCTCAGCAGTGGCCGAAGACTGCTAACCAGGATGCTCCACTACATTTTAGCTACATCACATAACATTAAAAAAATTTTTTTTATTTCATGTGTATGAGTGTGTTGCCTGTATGCATGTAAGTGCACCGGAATCTTGCAATGCCCACGGAGGTCAGAAGAGGGGGTTAGGATCCCCTGGAACTGGGATTTTTTTATGTGAGTGCTGGGAACTGGACCTGGGTCTCTGGAAGATCAGCCTGTGGTCTTAGCCTCTGAGCCATCGCTCCAGCCCCAACATCACATTTTTAAATGCAGAATTAGCCAGGCAGGGTAGCACACACATGTACTTGAATCTTGAGAGGAGAATTGTGAGTTCCGGGTCAGCCTGGGATACAGGCTGAGATTCCATTATCTCAAAGGGTGTGGGGGTGGGGGCACAACGAAAAGCCCTTTAATACACGTGCATCGTTAACAACCTTCACCCTAGTTAGTCCCAGCACATTTTCATGATCAGCTGATCTTCCCCCTGTGCAGCTGTGCTCTCTCCCACTTCAGTTCCGAACCTGGGGTTTGCAGACTTTCAGGGTCTAGCCCGCAGGCTCTGAAGAGGTCAGGGACTTTGGGGGTGGCACAGAGCCACTTCGAAGGGCCTAGCAGACGGACTACCTCCCGCCCACCCAGTGCGGCTTTCTACCCCCACAAAGAGGAGCTAGGAGGAGCCCGGTGGGTGAGGAAAAGTGAGATGTTCCCGGCACACTGCAGAGCGGAGGCAGGGAGGCGGGAGGGGGCGCTTGCAGCCCTGGGCTTTCCCTGGACAACTGAAAACTTCGTGCCCAGCAGGACCCAGCCACGGACTGATTAAACGCACTACAGAAGGGTCGAGAATGCTCAAGCTTTTCTCGGAACGCTGAGGCCCTCGGAGCCCGGACTCCTTCCATCCACGCAGGGTCCAAGCACCCTACGCACTTTGAGGCTGGCCAGCAAACCTATTTAAGCAGTTAATTTCAAATAACAGAAAAATGAACATATTTTAAAAATAAATGCGTTTTCTTTTTTGGACTTTTCTCTGATATATAATATATAATGTTTTAGTAGTTTTCTGAAAAAAAAAGTTTCTTTTGAAACAGGGTCTCCCTGGTTGGTTTGAAACACACTATATAGATCAGGGTGGCATAGAACTCACAGAGAACCTCCTGCCTCTGCTTCCCGCATGCTGCGGTTAAAGCCCGGTTATCTGAATATCATACCTCAGTTAGCAAACTAGGTGAGTGGTTTCTCTTGTTTTTGCTTTTGAGTTGTTTGGGTGGTTTAGGGCCGGAACCCTTCGGCAAGGTAACCTCACTGAGCAGCTACGCCCTAGCCTGACGGTGGTCTTACAAGCGTCTTTAAGACTGTGGCAGCCAAAGAGCGGGTCTGACGATCTTACCTTGTATTTTTTGTGGACTCCTATTTGAGAGCATTTAAGTCACTGTTTCTTATTCCTATCTTTAAGGCATTTCTGAACAAGCTGAGAACAAGAATTCCCCAAATTTGTGTCTCTACTGAGCTGAGTAAAGTAGCTTCCCGCATCCAGTTTGCACTCATTTACAGAATTTTTTTTTTAAAAAGTGTGATCTGGAGAAAAGCAAAGAGACCAGATGTAACTCTCTAAGGGCTCTTCTTGTTCTTTGAAAAAATTACTGAGCACCTACTGGGTGCGAGGCACTGTGCAAGGTAGTAAGAGTCAAGGACTTGCTGCCTTTCTCAAGGGACATAGAAACAGGAGCAGGGGTCCCAGTGCTCATAAATCTTCCAGCGTTCCATTCTAGCTGCTGCGACCTCCAGAGACTCTTCCTCATGGCCTGGACTTTTCCTTGATTCGCTCCCCCCGCCCCCCAGCCAAGTAAGCCAGACCTGCTTGATTTGGTAGATACTATCAACTTTTTTTTTAATGATTAGTAGAAGAAATGAATATATCAGTTCTGTTCAGAAGCTAGTAAAAGGTATTGGGGGCAGGCCTTCTGTCCACCCTGCTCTCCACCTGAGATTGGAGCACTACTACCGACCATCTGTTATTCTTCCTTCGCTGTAAATCATTCAATAAAAATGATTTTTGTTGTTAATAACTGGAATGAGAAAACTCTTTGCACTTAGCCACTTATAAAATAACTGTTAAGATTCTTCTGCCTGTAAATCTGTAAGATACCAAAGACTGATGACTTGACATGCAAATATATATACATGTATTTAAACATGTACACAGTTTTATGAGTTGCCAAACTGTCAAGTTTTAAATGGGAGTAGTGAGGACAGATATTGTTATCAAAAGATGGGGAACTGAGAAATAAGTTTCATAAAGTTACAGAAATAAGGGATTGATGACACATGTAAAGAGAATCAGAGCGTGTTTTTTCACTAAGGTGAGGAAAAGTAACTCAAGTGGGCAAGTTAAACGGAAAAAAGATTTCAGTTTCAGTTGGGAAGTAGTACTGTACCAGGAAATGAGGGGTGGATACAATAACTCCTGGGCAAGGCTGTTAAAAAGTTCTTTTGTATTCCCTAGCAAAATTAATTCTCTCTCTCTCTCTCTCTCTCTCTCTCTCTCTCTCTCTCTCTCTCTCTCCTTTCTTCCTTCCCTTTTTCCTTGTGTACAAGAAAGTGTTCTCCTTGTTGGAGATGTGGATAAAATTTCTGAAGAGAGTATATTTACATAGCATTTATGGACAAAAATTCAGTCATGGACAAATTACCTGCCTATTCCCTTTTGTTTTCTGATCCAGGCCTTGCTCAGTAGCCCAGGCTGACCTCACATTTTTTGCTCCTCCTTGGTGCTAGACTGCAGGCATGTGCCATACCAGTCTTCTCTATGAAAAGGGAATGTTTTAAAGGGAAATTTCTTTGACTCAGCAATTCAACTTCTGGAAATTTATTCTACAGACATGTGCAAAACAGCCTAATTATAACTATAACCACTATAGCTTTGTAATGATACAAAACTTTAGGGCCATAAATGAAGTGTTATGAGGTTTCCCTAATACTATTTCATAGTTGTTTAGACGAATTAGGCAGATTTAGTGAGTGTACAATAATTTCCAAGATGTGTTGCTGAACAGAAAAATACAGGTATCAGACAGTACATGTAAAACTGTAAAATTAGAAGTAATTGTATATATAATGAATATTCATAAAATATTTCTGGAAAGGCATAAGAAGTTAACTGTCATATCATGAAAATCTATGGAAGAGGATTTACTTTGTACTCAATAAAATTTGCTGCCAGTTAGTTTTTTTATACTTTACAAATTAACATATTGGGGCTGGAGAGATGACTCATCAGTTAAAGCACTTGCTGTTCTTTTAAAGGATTCAAGGTTGATTCCCAGCACACACACCCGTGTTTAGAGACTCATAACCCCCTTTAATTCCAACTCCAGGGCATCTGACACTCTCTGCTGGTCACTGCACCCACATGGCCTACACTCTTGTAGACAAACACACACACACACAAAATAAAAATAAAATAAATTTTAAAATTAACACATTAATTGTGCATATTAATGTGTGCTATTTCAACATACATGTACAGAGTATAGATCAAATCATGATAGTTGGTATTTCCTTCTGTCATTTCTTTCTGCTTTGAGTCTTGGAGCTCTTCTAGATTTTTCTACATAAAGGCATAGATATGTAGATACTGTGAAGTTTAATCAGCCCTCTGTACTGCAGAACACCAGAACACATTCCTGCCATCTAACTGCTTTGTTATCTTTTTTAAAATTTATTTTATTTTTTATGTGTATGAGTGTATTATCTGCGTGTGTGTAAGTGCACCCGTGTCGTGTAATGCCCCCAGAGATCAGAAGAAGGTGTCGGGTCCCCTGAAACTGGAGTTACAGATGGTTGTTAGCCTCCATGTGGGCCTGGGAATCGAACCCAGGTCCTCTACAAGAGTAGCCAGTGCTCTTAACCACTGAGCCATGTCTCCAGCCCCTTGTTATCTATTTTCAAACCAGTTGTATGAATTATCCAATACAAATTTTAAAATAACATAAGTGAAACAATGCTGGGGGAAGTTTTTCTAGAGCTGACTTCATTCTGGTAAGATTTGCATAACTGTAAAACTGCATTAACAGGAAAAGGAAAAACAAACACCCCTCAGTGGGTCATCTAAGCCTTAGAGTCCTCATTTGTGAGATGGGTACAATGTTACTTTGCAGGGTGAACTTTTAGGTCAGATACACAG